GTGTTTGAAGGCGTTTAATTTATGGCGTAAGTCCGACGTCTCCGAGCTGCATTATTTCGTTCGTAGCCTTTTTATATGATCGTGGTCTTTAATATGGTCGTAGCCTTCGGGTATGTCTCTTGGACTTGTTTCCCGATAACCTTTCAAACTTGTTCAAAAGGTTAGTCCCCGAGTATGATGGCCTTGGCCTTTATATCGAGGGGATGCCTCTTTGAGGTCTTATGAATTCGAGTTTTCGATGACGGATGCCTCTTTGAGGTCTTATGAATTCGAGTTTTCGATGACTCGGATGCGCCGACTGTCGATGACAGTCCCCGAGTATTCGGGGTGTATTTGCATTCTGGCCCTTGGGCCGTTTCTTGTAAAGTTGTAAGTGTGGAGCTCCTGTAATAGTAGATTCTCTAAGACACAAAATGTTTTGGTATAGAAGGAATGCTTCTTTGAATAATTGATAAATGCGCACATGTTTTTCCGTCGGGGCTCGACTATTCTATATGGACACAGTTCATCTGACCGTTTGCCCCATTACAAAGTTCTCCTATCGAATCCCTCTTAGGCGTGAAGTATTTTCCTCAAAAAATGACCTTCGAGGGTGATGCCCCCCAGTATTCGAGGTTGATTGAAAAGAAGCCTTGGATACTGTTGAGTTCTCCTTATGCATCATATAGTTGTTGCCTCATTAAAAACCTCGCTGGTAAAACCTATTTGGGACAAAATCTGATCTAAGGGAAAAAGAGTGCAGCGCATGCTTTAAAACCTAAGGTCTTCATGTAAAAAGGTGCCTTCGATAGCTTCGATCAAACACCTGCAATGAGTTAGCTTCAAATTCAAATGGACAAGAAAGATACATTCATACCTTAGCAATAGTATCGTTTGAGTAATGATATGTTCCAATTGTTCGGCAGTTCTTCACCTTTCATTATGCTAAGTTTGTAAGATCCTTTACCGACAACTCTGTGGACTCGGTACGGTCCTTCCCAATTCGGGCCCAATTTCCTTTCATTCGTGTCTCGAGTATTGAGGGTGACTTTTCGTAGAACTAAGTCCCCGATTCCGAAATGTCGAAGGTTGTTCCTTCTATTGTAGTATCTCTCGATCCTTTGCTTCTGCGCGACCATCCGAACAGGTGTTGTTTCTCGTTTTTCATCTAATAGCTCGAGGTTAGTATTCATAGCCTCGTGATTTGACTCCTTCGATGCATGTCGCAATCTGGCGCTGGGTTCTCCGACCTCGACAGGGATGAGGGCTTCTGAGACATATAGTAAAGAGAACGGAGTAGCCCCCGTGCTAGACTTCGATGTTGTTTGATATTCTCAAAGGACCTCGGATAGAACTTCTCTCCATTTCCTCTTTGCATCGTCCAACCTTTTCTTCAGGTTTTGAATGATAGTTTTGTTTGTTAACTCAGCTTGTCCATTTCCAAATGGATGGTATGGTGTTGATAAGATCCTCTTTATTTTATGTGCTTTGAGGAACTCCGTCACCTTGCTGCCGATGAATTGTTTTCCACTGTGACATACAATCTCGGCAGGTATCACGAACCGGCATATGATGTGGTCCCACATGAAGTCAACAACTTCTTTTTCTCTGACCTTCTCGAAGGCGTGTGCTTCCATCCATTTAGAAAAATAATCAGTTATAAATAAAATAAATTTAGCTTTACCTGGGGCTGTTGGTAGAGGGCCGACTATGTCCATTCCCCATTTCATGAAAGGCCACGGGGATAAGACCAAGTTTTATTGTTCCCTGGGCTGATGGATCATTGGCGCAAACTGCTGGCACTTATCACATTTTTTGACAAACTCCTTAGTATCTTTTTCCATGCTGTCCTAGTAATACCCCGCTCTAATAATTTTACGAACCGAAGACTCAGCGCCGGAGTGATTCCCACAAGTACCTTCGTGGATTTCTCGTAGAACATAATTGGTGTCCCCTGGTCCTAAACATATCGCCAATGGCCCATCGAGCGTTCTCCTGTACAGTGTTCCGTCTTCATCTAATGCGAACCTAGCAGCCTTGGTTCATAGGGCCCTTGATTTTTTGTGGTTCGATGGGAGTTTTCAATTTTTCAAGTAGTCGATATACTTATTCCTCCAGTCCCAAGCCAAAGTTGTTGAATTTATCTCAGCATGACCCTCTTCAACCACAGACCTCGATAACTGGACGACAGTCCCCGGGACAATATCATCTTCTTCGACCGAGGATCCCAGATTAGCAAGTGTACCGACCTCGCTATTTTGTTCTCGAGGCACATGATCCAGAGTCCACTCCTTGAGGCAGTGCAAAGTTAACTGTAGCTTATCCAAGTACCGTTGCATTCTATCCTCTCGAACTTCAAAGATTTTGTTTACTTGGTTTACCACCAACAGTGAATCGCACTTGGCTTTAATGACTTCTGCCCCTAAGCTTTTAGCTAGTTTGAGACCTCCAATCATGGCCTCATATTCAGCCACATTATTAGTCAACCTAGAAGTTTTGATAGATTGTCTAACGGTACCACCCGTAGGTGGCTTTAAGACAATGCCAAGCTCGGACCCTTTCACATTCGAGGCACCGCCCGTGAACAGGGTCCATACCCCCTATGATGTACCCGATCTTAGCAGGAGTTCTTTCTCCACTTCAGGTACGAGGGTCGGCGTAAAATCGGCCACAAAGTCAGCTAGGATTTGCGACTTGATGGCCGTTCGGGGTTGACACTCGATATCGTACCCGCTAAGTTCGACAACCCATTTGTCCAGTCGGCCCGATAACTCGGGCTTATGCAAAACATTTCGAAGGGGGTAAGTGGTTAATACACATATGAGATGACATTGAAAATATGGTTTTAGCTTTCTAGATGCGCATATCAGTGCAAGTGCTAATTTTTCTAAGTGAGGGTATCTAGTTTCATCATTTCCTAAAGTTCGGCACACATAATAAAAAGGGAATTGCGTACCTTGCTCTTCTCGAACTAGTACACAACTTACTGCAATCTCGGATACTGCCAAGTATAGGTAAAATTTTTCATCTACCTTCGGAGTGTGAAGCAAAAGCGGGCTCGATAGATATTGCTTCAATTCTTCTAAGGCTTGCTGACATTCCGCGGTCCACACAAAATCTTTTTTCTTTTTTAGCAAAGAAAAGAACCTATGACTCCGATCTGATGACCTCGAAATGATCCGAAGGCACATTTCTCAGGGTTATGCTTCATGTTGTGCTTTCTCAAAATTTTGAATGTTTCCTGCAAATGAGTCAAATGGTCCTATGCGCGCAGGGACTTAACCAACATACTATCAATGTAAACTTCCATATTTTTACCTATTTGTTCTTCGAACATTTTGTTAACTAGGCGTTGATATGTAGCTCCCGCATTTTTTAGCCCTAAGGGCATTAAGTTGTAACAATAAGCTCCAAATTTAGCGATAAACGAAGTCTTTTCCTGGTCCTCCGGGCTCATCTGAATTTGATTGTATCCGGAGTAGGCATCGAGAAAATTTAGGATCTCGTAGCCGGTCGTGGAATCGATCATACGATCGATGTTGGGCAGTGGGAAAGAATCTTTCGGACATACTTTGTTTAAATCCTTGTAATCTACGCACATCCTACGTTTATTTCCTTTTTTAGGCTCCACAACTACATTGGCTAACCATTCAGGGTATTTTACCTCCCGAATGGACCCTATTTTAAGAAGTTTGGTTACCTCGTCCTTTATGAACGCATGTTTCACCTCGGACTGGGGCATCGTTTTTTGCTTTACCGGTTTGAACCTGGGGTCGATGCTTAGCTGGTGTGTTGTGATTTCCGGTGGAATCCCTGTCATATCAAAATGGGACCAAGAAAAGCAATCCATATTATCAATAAGAAATTGAATGAGTGTTTTCCTGAGTTCGTGGGTTAATCCCATTTCCTGGTATACCTTTCTCTCGGGCATGTGCTCGATCATTATGACATGCTCCAGTTCCTCGACAGTTTATTTGGTTGCATCGGACTCTTCGGGAACGACGAAGGTTCGAGGAGTAAAGAAGGTCTCTTCTTCGTCTTCGGTTACCTGTTGCTCCGATTCTGTCGAGGTTGGGGGCAGTGATTGCTATTTAGTCACCTGTTTACCTTTGGTGCTCGACTTCTTCGAGGTGGAAGGCTGTGGTATCGGCACCACTTCCTCGACTACAAACATCTCCTTTGCAGCATGTTTCTCTCTGTAAACTGTTTTCACTCCATCATCTGTTGGGAACTTCATCATCTGGTGAAGAGTTGAAGGCACTGCCCTCATGTTGTGTATCCATGGTCTCCCGAGGAGTGCACTATACCTCATGTCACCTTCGATGACATGGAATTTCGTATCCTGTACGGTTCCAGCTACGTTTACTAGTAGGAGTATCTCCCCCTTTGTTGTTTGCTTGCCATATTGAAGCCATTTAGGACCCGGGATGCAGGTACAATCTGATCTTGCTAGCCGAGTTGTTCTACGACCCTCGATTTGATTATGTTTGCTGAGCTACCTGGATCCACTAGAACATTAACTTGAATTTCATTTAAAAGAATAGAAATTACCAGGGCCTCATTGTGCGGTTGGGATATGCCTTTTGCTTCCTTGTCACAGAATGATAGGACGTCCTCGGGCACATAGCTGCGAGTCCCTTTTTCTCTGGTGATCGATACCTTGGTACGTTTGAACACAGGTCCTTGTGGGACGTCGACACCGCCAATGATCATGTGGAGTACATGTTGTGGTTCTTCCTGCTCATTTTTTCTTGCATCTCTTTCCCTAAGGTGATTTTTAGCCCGATCACTGAGGAATTCTCGATTGTGACCCTCATTGATCAACTAAGCCACCTCCTCCCTTAGCTACCAACAATCTTTGGTCTTTTGGCCGTGTGTGCCCTGATACTTACACATCAAGTTTGGATTCCTCCGAGAAGGATCGGTTTGGATAGTCCTGGGCCACCTGGTATCTTTGATTCTTCCAATAGCTGACAGGATCCCTGATGCGTACAACAACAACAACAACAACAACAAACCCAGTTTGATCCCAACAAGTAGGGTCTGGGGAGGGTAGTTTGTACGCAGACCTTACCCCTACCTAATGCAGGTAGAAAGGCTGTTTCCAATAGACCCTCGGCTCAGGAAGGGCAAGAAGAAGAAGGGGAAAGCAAGGGAGGAAGAAAGATGGAAGATAAAAGAAAAAGGGAGAGATAAAGGATAAGTGGTACCAAATAATAGCAACATGGAATACAATACCTGAGGCGAACAAAATCACATAACATAATAAAAATCTAAAAATATGAAGGGACATCCATAGTACTAAGACTATCGGTGAACAACTATAAACTACCTACTAACCCTCTACCTTAATCCTCGACCTCCACACTCTCCTATCAAAGGTTATGTCCTCAGTGAGCTGAAGCAGCGCCATATCATGTGATCACGCCCAACTCTAGTCCTAAAAAGGATAAGCGGTCGCTGTAAATATAATCCGGTTTACAAGTCCGGAGTCGAATCCCACAGAAAACTAAGGCTTAGCTATAGTTGTTCAATATCGCTAAGAAACACAAGGCCAAAGAATTTTCTAATTATAAAGATTATATTATTTATTTTTATCTACTTAACTAACAAATGTAGAAAACCGTAAAACTATCAATTAACAAGGATAATGATTGGAGTCAAGATTAAGGAGGTCTAGAGTTATGATTTCCCCAATTGTCGGAATTCTTCCTGCTACATTTTCTATAAATTCGCCTAAGTATTCTCTACCGATCATGAGCGCCCTGACTGTCGTAACTCTCTCCCGAGTAATTACCACAATTTACTAGACGCACTCTCCCGAGTTACGCTAGCTGGCTTTGTTTATTACAGCTCACTTTAGATTGCACCCAAGGCTTCGTTATCCCTAATCCCGCCTTTAAACCCGCAGTTATAGATCCCTCTTATACTTTGGGAGTGATGTTGTTCAACAACTACCTAAATATGCACTCTCTGCCGAGTAATACATACTAAATAGGCACAACTAATTGAGAGCTCTTCAACCAACCACAATATAAACGTAGTTGAACAAATAGAGAAAAACTAAGGCTCAATTATATAAAAACATAACAAGAATTTATATTACAAAAGGTTCTATCAAAACTCTAGATAACAAATTAGCTATTCATAATAGCATGTAAAACTACAATACTAAAAATCATAACCAACAATGAAAGATAGGAAGAGAAAGGAAAAACTCGTTGAAGAATCCTCCGCCTTGCTCCCAGTGTGTTCTTGACTCCTTAGGTCGAATCCCCGCCTTAGCCTCCTTAGGTCTAAATTATGTCAAAAGTGTGTCCAACCTCTCAAAATAGCGTTTTTACATGTATTTATACCAAGTAGGGTCGGGCACAGATGAAAAAAACCTTTTCTGCGCGAACTAGGACTTCGCTCTGTAAAAGTTGAACAGCCGCGCCGCATCATGCGGCGCGGTAGTGCATTTTAGCTGCAGCTTCATATTTTCAAGTCAGGCACCATTTTACACTGCTGCGCCGCGCCTTGCGGCGCACCATGTGGCGCAGCAGTGCAATTTTCTCAGAGTAAACTTATTTCGTCCTCTTTTAACATCCAGACTTGGTACACGACCTCCGAACACGATCCCGTCTTAATGTATTGGGCTTTTACTCAGACTTCAAAGCTCCAAATTGATCAATTTAGCTCCAAATTAACTTTTGAGCTCAGGATCACTTCCTGCAAGGCATAAAACACGTACTAAGTGCAATTCACTATCATTTGAACTCAAACGCACGTAAAAAATGCAGTCATTGGCATGTAATACTACGGCTAAAACACGGGTTTCTAGCCTAACATCAACACCCCACACTTAAACCATTGCTCGTTCTCGAGCAATCAAACTACACTTTTTATAGACACGACCTTTTTAAACAACTCTCCTAATTCATTATGCCAAGAATATTTAATATAGATTAAGCACAAAAGAGTAACATCTTAACTTCAAGATTTGACTCACAAGTACCACGCATTATCACTCGCCCACTTACTCTAACATAGAGGTCACTGAAATTACATTTCCTTCATGAATCAAGTGGCCTCACACAACAAAAGAGAGGAGTTCCACACAATAAAATTTAAGAACACTTAGGAACTCAAGATAGAAAGAATTCACTCACTCTCAAAAATAACATTCATATGCCACAAAAGATGCACCATAAGCTTGCCCGTAGTGTACTACTCCACTAATCGAGCTCATTCAATCTAGGATGGTTGTAATGTAGGCTACGGGACGGGTATGATACATTTAGATATAAGAGTGACTACACCTCCCTAAGCACTTTAATACATATACTTTAACATTCAAACCCCATACTTATGTCAAACCAAACTCCACCTTCACATCAATGTATATTACCTCATTCTTCTTTAAGCACACTTACATCAAGAGCCACCACTTATCAAAGAAATAATTTTTTTTTTCACAGCAATACAACTATATTTTTTTTTCAATTCAAGTGGCTCTTACTTGTTCAAAACAGTGCACCTTTCTCCTGATTTCATTAGTTCCACTCAAAAGCCAAACCAACCACCCCACACTTTAACTTTTACATAAATCATCACAATTCAAGTGCTTATGAGAGGTTAAAAGGTTCAAATAGATAGTCCATTCAAACAAATGGGTAAGGCTTGTAATGTGATTGCCAAAAAAATAGGATTACAGGCTCAAAGGGGATAACTACGATACATAACAATTAGGCGGGTAAAATATACATATCTGGCTCAACAAAGAAATGCCTATATCACTTCCTAGACTGAATAAAACTACTATTTTGCTTTGCAAACACACGGGGCAAGTTCTAGGCATCAAATGCAATGCACAGAATATAACAAATCCTTACACACACATGGCACATAACTCACTCAGGATTAGTTTCATCAAGACACTCTAGTCAAAGCAGTTAAGCAAAGTTAAGATCATACAATTTAAGGTACTTCTACAAGAGTCAAAAACTGAACCTAAGCGTCACAACCAACGTACTCACTATTCTCAATGCATAACAAAGTCAAGAGATATTGCTTCAATTCAAAACACAACACAATGGCTCCTATTCCTTAAAAAAAACTAACTACACCCGGTTCAAATAAAACCCTTGGAAAAGAACAGTGGTTTAAAGAAAAACCAAGGGGGAATTGCTACACTACTTAACACAAAACAAAAAATCTTTTTTTTTAGACTTAAATCCCTCAAGAAAATTGTCTAATAGATCCATCGTCGGGAAAAGTCCAATCTTTTAGTAAAAAAAATACTATTTAATTAAACTAATACAGCTAAAGTAGCATGAAAAGTTACCCAGACAATCTCATCACCCCACACTTAAAATTGTGCATTGTCCCCAATGCACAGCATAACCATAAGAGGGTAAGAGAAACTCCCTGGTAGGCCAAAGGCCGAAGCACTAGCAGTTCATGGGATACTCAGACTTCTCTCAGGTTTGGTCCTTCGTGCGGGTACCTCACACTTAGTTCCAACCATTTGATCTGCTATTGCATCCTTCCAATAGCTTTGCTTTCCACGCTCCTAGAAAATAAAAAATCGACACTACAAGAATAATACAATTAAAAAAAATAAAAATAAATAAAAGAAAGCAATAAAGCTGGGTTGCCTCCCAACAAGCGCTTGATTTAACGTCGCGGCACGACGCGAATCACTTTTTTGCCTCTACCTCAAGCTTATGAATTGAACCCCAAGTTTTGATTCAAGCTTATGATTATGGTCATGGGGCGGTGGAACGAATCTAACTGGCCCAAGGAAATAATGTAGTATTCTGCACTCCTTGGCCTTTGTATGAGGTATGTAATCCTGACTTTCTAGCAAGAAGAATTCCGGAATATATGCACCTTGTTCCTCATTCCTTGACTCTTCGATTGGTTCAGATGACTCTATTTCCATATCATCATCCAAACATAATGTGGAAAAATGCTTGGAGTGTGGACCAATGCGCTCAAACACATGAACTTCAGGACTTTCAACATCCTCAACATCAATGATACTAGAGTCAACAAAATTTATATCCTCAAAGTCCTTGGTTGGCTCAAGTCTCACTTCTTCAACATTGACATCCTCAAATTGTAGTTGGCTAGGTTTTTGATGTTCTACTCTGACCTCCCCAATTAAAACCTCAATTCCATGCTCTTCTTGGCTGCTATCCTTAATATTGGCTTGTTGGGCATTAAAAGCTCCAACCACTTGACTCAATTGAGCCTCCAACTTGCAAATAGTTGCCTCTTGCCTTTCTATGTGCAATTGTTTCTCATTGTTTTGTTCCGGAAGACACTTTAGCATATCCTTGATCTCCTTCAGGTCCGCATTCCCAGGTTCTTTGTTCCTATTAACTTCACAAGAAAAGGTAGAACCATCATAGTAAGGGGTTGGGGGAAGATAAGAAATATAAGCACAACCATGAAGGTGACCATTTTTACCACCACACACATCACACACATTCCACAAATAAGATTGAGTTGGTGCACATAACTCGCTCTAAGGAACGTTTTGAAAATTTTGCCACGGGTGGTTTCCTTCACAATATGTATGGAGATCAATAGTTGAATTATCTACACCTAAATTCTCATAATTACAAGATGTCATGTTTCTCAAATCAACAGTAATAAAAAAAATACCAAGAAAAAACAAAACAAAATAAAAGTTCAAACTTGAACCCTAGCAATATATACAGCTACAACTACACCGTTAGTTCCCCGGAAACGGCGCCAAAATTTGATCACGCCCAACTCTAGTCCTAAAAAGGATAAGCGGTCGCTGCAAATATAATCCGGTTTACAAGTCCGGAGTCGAATCCCACAGAGAACTAAGGCTTAGCTATAGTTGTTCAATATCGCTAAGAAATACAAGTCCAAACAATTTTCTAATTATAAAGATTATAATATTTATTTTTATCTACTTAACTAACAAATCTAGAAAACCGTAAAACTATCAATTAACAAGGATAACGATTGGAGTCAAGATTAAGGAGGTCTAGAGTTATAATTTTCCCAATTGTCGGAATCCTTCCCGCTACGTTTTCTATAAATTCGCCTAAGTATTCTCTACCAATCATGAGCGCTCTGACTGTCGTAACTCTCTCCCGAGTAATTACCATAATTTACTAGACGCACTCTCCCAAGTTACGCTAGCTGGCTTTGTTTATTACAGCTCACTTTAGATTGCACCCAAGGCTTCGTTATCCCTAATCCTGCCTTTAAACCCGCAGTTATAGATCCCTCTTATACTTTGGGAGTGATGTTGTTCAACAACTACCTAAATATGCACTCTCTCCCGAGTTATGCACACTAAATAGGCACAGCTAATTGAGGTTCCTATCAATTAACTACAACAAACACGTAGTT